ATGGTTAAACTCTGTGTTATCACAATAGTATTTAGTAAATCCAAAAAAGATCTAACCGCCCATATAATAACCAACTTAGATTATATCATATAGTTTTGATATGATACCTCATGATTGGAAATGTACGTAAGAGACTAAGAGTTTCTGAAACGTATAATCATGCCTAAAATCTATAGATCTAGGGTAATTAACTCCAAAAAATGAGAATGTAAAAAAGTTTCTTAAATCTTGGTTAAAGGGAAATCCCACTAATAATTGTGACTAAACGATAACAAGTAAATAGCCATCATGTCTTTAAACAGAGAAGTATACATATATTTTTCCGTCAACGAAGACCATAACTGGTTGAATAATAACAAACAAATGTAATTTTTTTTTTTTGATATTCCCATCTCTATATTTCAGAATTCAGATTTGATTACCCTAAACATTTAAAAGACAAATGAGAAAACAAGAATTTTAAAAGGGGGGTATTGGAAAATTGAACAGAGACAAGCATTTTAAAAGAAATTTTGGTTTGTTTCATTTTTATTTGGACTTTGAAATGGAAATAGGATATAAACAAGGGAAATTAGGTGTTATAACCAACAAAAATTTATTAATTAGGTAGATAACATAAAAAGGGTTGACCATGATATTCTTCATATTTTGTGTATTAATTACAAAACTAACCTCATTTCTCTCTCACATAAAAGGATTACTGAATTAGTTTTGTTATTATGATGGCTATAAGCTTGATTTTTTAGTCCAATATAGTTATCTGGCAAAATGACTCTATAAATAAATATGAAAATTTTCGAGAAATGTAATTTTTCAAAATCTTTTAAAAAATGTTATTTTAAAAAAATTATTTATTCAATATATTATTTATGTTTGGGTTAACTATGTTATTTAAGATTTAATTTGAGATATTTCAATTTAATATTCTTAATCTTAAAACATTTTTCTAATTAAATTTGACTGAGACAAATAAAAGAAAATACTAAAATTTTCAAAAAAAAAAAGACAAATAAAAGAAAATACAAAATCTGACAATATTATTTAGGGTTTATTTATTGGATGGGAACACGAGTTACATATATCACTAGGTTACTAAGAGCATCCGCATTGGAGACAAATGTGGATGTCTTTAAATATAAAATTATTAAAATTTGAGTAAAAGAAAAAAATAGAGTGTTTTTGGTTGAAATAATAGGGTGTATTGAAATATAAAATTAATAAAATTTGAGTAAAGAGAAGAGATAGTGGATATTGTTGGAGAGATTGTGTTTTTAGGAAGACATAAATAGTGATTTTTGGAGGGAGATTATGGATGTGTTTAAATATAAAATTAATAAAAATTGAATAAAAAAATGAAAGAAAAGGTATAAAGTTGAATAAAATGAAGAGAGAGTGTGTTTTTAATATTTGTTTATTTAAAGACATCCAGACGAATGCGGATGGTATGAAATCTTTGAAAAGTTCTTCGTACAATTAATTAATAATAAATGGACGTGGATTTACTGACGTGACCTTGACGTAACCGTATATTAACTCAAATTACCGAATTATTCGTTCCGTACTGTCTATAACACGTAAAAACCATTTTGGAGGCAAGGGCATTATTGTCATTGAGAGTACAAAACAAAACGACACGACGACTTTTCTTGGTATTGTCTGCTTAGCTGCTGTTCCTCTGTAC